AGGTTTATTACCTCTGTTAGTAAATTGGCAAATTTACACCTACACAGTCTAAACATAAAAAATGTCACCTTCATAAGATTCATCATCTATTAAGGATTGAAGCAATTCAGAAGCAGCATACTAAAGTTACTTCACAAAAAAAAAAGATTACACTATTTCAGAAATAAAATTGGCACCTACACGTTCCCATAACAGTCCTGGCCTTCTAAGTAGGGTACACTAGCGATGACAGTTTGAAGCCTGTTAGAAGAGTCTTAAGTTATTGCATGGAAGTAAAATCTGGAAATGGTCTACATAAAAGTGTCTAGAGGGGACATGCACCTGCCAGTAGTTGTACAAAAGTTTCCCAAGTTACAGCACACCAGTTTTGAAAACTTGAGGTGATTTGTATGAGGTGTTCTCAAGTTATAAATGAAATTGGAGGAAGAAAAAAATTCAGGCAACCACTTAACAGTACCCCTTAAGGAATACATAATCGTGCAGCATATAGCATGTGCAATGTACAGATTTCTTCTTGCATATATTTGCCCAGTTGGTTTCAAATTTTTCATCAATCAGTACTTATGACACTTAAATCTAAACTTATACTATTTACTGCCCTAGATTTTGTGAAAATATAATATCGATATATATGTGAAACCAGGTGCAGTCAAATATTTAGTGACACTATACAGCATCTGAAACCAGGTGAAGTCGCAAATACGGTAGTTATTTGATTTACAGCATCTGAACCAGGCAAAGTTGTAAATAGTTATTGACTTGATTTACAGCATTCGTGGAACAGGTTCAGCTGCTCTTTCCATGATGAGTGTAGCAGCTGGTTGGTGTGATGCTTTCTATCACTATAAATTGTGCTGTTGGGACATGGCTGCTGGGTACCTGATCATTAGGGAAGCTGGGGGGTATTTGTGCGACCCACAAGGTTGGTGGTCTTACAACACTGTGCTCTATGAACTGCTTCTCTAGGAATTTTCTATTACTTTTGTTTTTGCTGTTACCCAAATTATGATTTAATTTTTTCCTAATCTTTATACAACTGGTTTTAATTTAACCACTTGCATGTGTAGTAGTTTAGAATTATAAATTTGTGTATATTATAGGGTCCTCCTCAGAGTTATATTGCAAACTGAATTTTTGAAAGAATCAATACAGGTTTACACTATTATATTATAAGAATATCAGTCGTCAGTTGATAATCAGAACTAAGGAAGATGGTTTTTTTGCCTTTGATCCTATCTTTTAGTCACATTTCCATGTATTACCCTGTGGTTTGCTTTCTCTAACTCTCATTTACTTTCTTAGTCTTGGTCTACACCTCTCTTTATTGCTTACATGTGGCCACAGTCGGCTTAGCATACAAATCATTAGCATATCAGTTTATCTTTTCACTAAAATTGCTCTTAGTAGAGGAAAATTATAATGACATTTTGGTCTGTCCTGGACTATTATCAAATCACAAATGGGGTACAAAGATCCCTAATGATTGAAATACTTAACCAAGAGTGATGTGTGGTATGGCTTGATAGCACAGATGTTAGTGTCTTGAAATAGACTGTTTCATGGTAGTGAGTTTGATTATTGCTCTATATTTGTACATAATTTGAAAAGCAGAAAAAGTTCAGGTTGTAAAATGCTTAGCTTTTGTAACCTTTCTCAATGATGGGTTCACTCGCATTGTTTGAGCACTACTTGATATTAATGCATACATTTTGAAATCCTGAAATATCAGTACATCCTTTTGAAATCCTGATATAAATCAGGTTGAAAATATTTTGCATTTGTATTCTTAATGGTGGGCTTAGTTCAGCTTCAGAATATTATTGTATGATTTGGAAAGCTGGGCTAAAGTGCCTTAGCCCAAGGATATCTAGTTGTGTTCAGCCTGGAATGACTTGATTGTTAGATGACACTATCATAGGTAGTGGAACGTCACAGGATGGACTTGAACCCCATTTGATGCTATTATTTTCTCGTATATACATACATTGTACAAGTAGAGCATTTTTAGTAGTATACAGATAGATGGCTTATTGTTCAGTGCAGTATTAGTATATGGTATGGGGTTTCATTTTTGTGGAAAATAAATTTTTAAATTTATTAAGCAGTCCTCAGTATTTTAAATTTATCTATATTTATAATCATTTTCTTAAGAATGGGAAATTTCCAGAGGAAACAAGGTCTCGGGAAAGTAGTTATTGTGCATTACTGTATTCTATTCATCAAAGAAATAGGACCTATTTGGGATCCAGTTTATTAGTATGTGCATAAAAATATACAGTATTTTAACTAAATACAAAATGGGAAGTGACAGTTACTTTTTGCTGATGATGCTGTGCTTATGGGAGATTCTAAAGAAAAATTGCAAAGGTTAGTGGATGAATTTGGGAGTGTGTGTAAAGGTAGAAAGTTGAAAGTGAACATAGAAAAGAGTAAGGTGATGAGGGTATCAAATGATTTAGATAAAGAAAAATTGGATATCAAATTGGGGAGCAGGAGTATGGAAGAAGTGAATGTTTTCAGATATTTGGGAGTTGACGTGTCAGTGGATGGATTTATGAAGGACGAGTTTAATCATAGAATTGATGAAGAGAAAAGGCGAGTGGTGCGTTGAGGTATATGTGGAGACAAAAAAATGTAATCTATGGAGGCAGAGAAGGGAATGTATGAAAGTATAGTAGTACAAACACACTTATATGGGTGTGAAGCTTGGGTTGTAAATACTGCAGCAAGGAGGTGGTTGGAGGCAGTGGAGATGTCCTGTCTAAGGGCAATGTGTGGTGTAAATATGCAGAAAATTTGGATTGTGGAAATTAGAAGGTGTGGAGTTAATAAAATTATTAGTCAGAGGGCTGAATGGGGTTGTTGAGGTGGTTTGGTCATTTAGAGAGAATGGATCAAAGTAGAATGACCTGATGAGCTGTTGGAGTGTGAGCAGGGTAATATTTAGTGAAGGGATTCAGGGAAACTGGTTATTTTATATAGCCGGACTCGAGTCCTGGAAATGGGAGGTACAGTGCCTGCACTTTAAAGGAGGGGTTTGGGATATTGGCAGTTTGGAGGGATATGTTGTGTATCTTTATACATATGTGCTTCTAAACTGTTGTATTCTGAGCACCTTTGCAAAAACAGTGATTGTGTGTGAGTGATGTGAAAGTGTTGAATGATGATGAAAGTATTTTCTTTTTGGGGATTTTTTCTTTTTGGTCACCCTGCCTCGGTGGGAGATGGCCGACTTGTTAAAAAAAAAAAACTCAGTTTAACATATATACAGTGCATTACTCATGACTTGCAGTTTTCGAAGTGTAGGATCATCTGCTCTTACAATAGTGAGTGTAGCAGCGGGTTGGGCAGATGCCTTTTTTCATTCTGGTTTGTGTTGTTGGGACTCGGCTGCTGGATACCTGATACTGAGGGAGGCTGGGGGATATATTTGCGACACTAAAGGTTGGTAGTTCCTTTAATACCCAGTTTTGTGGGAAAGATTGATGAGAATGTAGATACATAAATGGTTTAGAGAACTGACAAGTTGATAAATTAGACACACATGCAACATTTGGGTATCTTTATTGTGGAAACATTTTGCCACATAGTGGCTTCATCAGCCCAGTACTAAGATGAATGGTGAAGTGCAGGAGTTTGAGGTAATCATTCCTACACCCTGAAGTTGATGTAAGTGTTGCACATGTGCATAATCTATCAACACTGATGAGAATGCTTATACTTAAATTTTAGCTTGCTTTCTTGCTATAAATATAAATGGGTCAGTTTATATAGAAAAAGTTCCATGTTTATTGTACCATTGACTTGTATTTCTCAGTGAAACTACAGAGTGATCATTCTCAGTATTCACTTATTACCATTTTTTTATGGCAATATTATAATTAAGTTACTTAGGGTGTTAGTGTAACTGTTCTATTTCTAAGCTTAAAATATAAAATAAATTATATCAAGTAAGTTTATATTTAATTTAAAATTCTGCACCCAACCCAAGCTGCATAACACACTAAATTTGCTAATTGCTTTTATTATGCCAAACTCAGTGATGTCTAATTAAATTAATATTAACTTTATCTTACGAACAGGAAAATTTTGCAGGCAGAAAATTCAGTCGTGTGCTTTAAAGTTGATAGGGTTCACTATATACAAGTTAGTCTCACTTACAATTTACAAAAGGCATTAATTTAAGTTAAGTAGTTAATAATACAATTTTTTTTTTAATGCACTGGTCATCTCCCATGAGGCAGGGTGACCTGAAAAAGAAGAAATGAAAGTGTTTATTCTTTTCACGTATAGTAATTTGTACAGGAGAAGGGGTTATACTAGTCTTTCTCTCAGCATATTAGTTGCCTCTTATGACACCTATGGCTTACAGAGGAAGGATTCTTCTCCACTTCCCCATGGAGTAATAATATAAATACTGTGGTCAGTTATAGAGACAACTCTGATTTATCTACCAGAAGCAATGGCAATTTTTGTTTAGCTTGAGAATTACTTTGTGTAGATTTTATTGTTGTACCTATGGAGAGTGCAGTTATGCAGAAAACTACCAAAGTTAAAAAAAAATGGAAGATGCATGAGGTATTGCAAATTGGAGAAAGAATTTGTAATTTGTTGTCTGTGGATTGTACACTGTCATCTGGAAAGAAGCCAGTAAAACCTTTCAATAATATTCAGCATTACAATACCCTCCGACGTTACTCTCCCACGTTTAGATCATATCTTGTAATTTTATTTTATATATGTGGATGGGAGGTAGAATGTTTCATGCTGGCATTTGCATTACGCAACATTATGGTATGTCTTTCCTTCTTTCATTATTTCTCTCCTCCTCTTTGTTGTCCTTAGAATTAGTGCAGTTGGCCACTTTCACCTCTCCATTTTCTTCCACAGTCATCACTAATACATAATAGTAAATCACTATGCACTGTTCCTATAAAAATAATATACAAACAGTTAGCAATGCCACTCAAGACAACATATCGATTTTTTCCTCATTTTAGAATCCGTGCCATGGGATCGTGCACCTTGAATATGTGTCATGTAGCTCTGGGTGGTGTTGATGCCTGCTTTGAGTTTGGCATTCATAGCTGGGACACGGCAGCAGCTTACTTGGTCGTAAAGGAAGCAGGGGGAGTGATCATTGATACTGAGGGTATGTGATTGTGCTTGTTAGTGCTGCTTTAAAATACAGTACAGTATATGCTATTAACAGTGTTTGATACACTTTACTGTTGGGATACATATTGTATCATCACCTTGTTAAAATTTGCTTGATATATTAATTATAGAAAGCACATCACGTAGAGTAAGCATGGAATTTACGTTGACCCATTAATTTGTTGTGTAAATATTTATGTATGCTGTTTTTTAATTCAAAGTGAATTATGGTGCCATCTGTAGAGGGGTTTAACATATGCACATAATTGATTTTCACTCTCTTCTAATTTCTTGAATGATTTAAAAAATACAATGCAAATCTGTTGCATAGGTTTTAGGAAAATCCCTGGAAAGACTTCAGTGAACATTAATAAGGTTTCTGTAAATAGCTCACTTGTTAAACAGGAATATATACCTCCTGCCTGCATTTCATTAAATTCCATATACAGTAGGGTCCTGACTTAACGAGTTCTGAGTCATGGTGATCCGCATTTGTGATATTGGCACTTTAGATCAAATTATATACTTACAAATGCTAATTTGCAATTATGGTTATAGCAGATAGTAAAATGGTTTAAGAATTCTAGTTTTAATATTTACTATAGTATTTTCTTTGGGCTGTATAAATATTTTTTCTCAGTCACCTTTTTCCCAAATGCATTGGTATAGTGAAAGAGGTGCTGCTTACCCTTACACATCAGTAATGTTCTACATACTGTATTGTAGCTCTGTTTATCTGACGTGTACATTAATTAAACAGTGTTCATTACTATATGTAATTGACAAGGAACAGTACTGGCAAGACAGTGATGGAGTGAGTGATAAAAGAGTTTCTTCTTTTTCAGGTCACCCTGCCACGGTGGGAAATGGCCGATGTGTTAAAAAATAATATATGTTGAAAGAAATTAAATTATATATGGAATATTATGGCTTGGGAATGCATCTTCATTTATGACATGAGTATCAGAAGAAAAATATTTTTTGCTTTTTTGAGCACATTCATGTAAGTTGGGGCCCACTGTACTGTTTCAGCTAACAATAGTCAATAATGGAGTAGATTTAGCCTATAAGTGAGCTATTGAAGGTAAAGAACACGCCAAAGGGATAAAGTGAGAGAACACATAGACATGCAGTAAAGTGGGATAGGTAACTGATTAATTTCGATTAATGAATCTGCTTAGTACATACTTTACATGAAAATCCCAGTGAGTGTAGGTCTAATTAGTATTTTGTGTAAATTTAGCATGGCCAGGAACTATTTGAATACTGTAACATGTCTTAGTTTCATGAATGAATACAATAATTTATGTAGACCAAGATCGTAAATCACTTCATACCACCTATTTCTTATATTTTTTTCCTTGCTTGTTGTACAGCCAGATTCCAGAATTCATGTGCATCTTAATCCATGTGTCATTACTAGAGGCTGTTTCACAGCTTCATGCATTTTCATTTTTTATGAAGTGTCACTCCTAATTTAAATATAAACCATAGAATTTAATTTAAAATATACTCATTCTTTCTTATAAATCTCATTACAATATTCACCAGATTAGAGCAATATTGAAAGAGAGATAACCAAAACAAGGGATTTTTCTGAAATATAGTTACATGCATTTAAAAACGTGCATACAGAATTGTTTAATAATTCAGATGTGATATATCCTTATCTGCTGCTTCAGGATTCATGTCATCTTTGGGAACCTAACTCGCATGAATTCTGGGGGTACATCTGTACTCTTAAAATAATCATTGTGTCAAGTGTTTTAGGTGGCCAGAAAATCTGAGTAAAAAGCTTCTTTAACTGATACTTTCTTGATAATATCTAACATCTTCAAAGCACAGTACATATTAAACATATACAAACTTAAAATCATTGGTATTTTTTTTTTTTTTATAATTTAATTCCTTGCTGTAGTTTATGTACATATTGTATTTGAATACTGTATTTTGTATTCATAGGTGGCCAAGTACATTTTCTTACTCATTTCTTTAGAATTTTTTTCTCTTCAGTTCTTTTCCTCCATTTTTCTTAGCTTATTTTTAGAAAATCCTTGCTGAAGAAGATCCTGTTTGTTTTGATATTAATTGTTTCAAAAATATGTTGAAGCATGGGTAGAGGGTGTCACCAGTTTTCTTGTGTGTTACACTTTTGTACAACGTACTGAGGTAACATGTACATGCGGCTAGCATAATTTTAAAATTATTTGTATTGAAATTTTCCAGAAATGCAGTTCTAGAGATCTATTATATATTGATTTTAATATATCAGCATCTAATTGTACTATTTAACCATTGTTATAAATACATAAGTTCATATTCTTTTTGAAATGTACATTATAGGAAGAAAAATATGTTTACTATACTATATTGCTATTTTTTTTTTTTTTTTTTTTTTTTTTTTTTTTTTTTTCAACAAGTCGGCCGTCTCCCACCGAGGCAGGGTGACCCAAAAAAGAAAGAAAATCCCCAAAAAGAAAATACTTTCATCATCATTCAACACTTTCACCACACTCGCACATTATCACTGTTTTTGCAGAGGTGCTCAGAATACAACAGTCTAGAAGCATAAACATATAAAGATACACAACATATCCCTCCAAACTGCCAATATCCCAAACCCCTCCTTTAAAGTGCAGGCATTGTACTTCCCATTTCAGGACTCAAGTCCGACTATATGAAAATAACCGGTTTTCCCTGAATCCCTTCACTAAATATTACCCTGCTCACACTCCAACAGATCGTCAGTCCCAAGTACATTCGTCTCCATTCACTCCTATCTAACACGCTCACGCACGCTTGCTGGAAGTCCAAGCCCCTTACCCACAAAACCTCCTTTACCCCCTCTCTCCAACCCTTTCGAGACGACCCCTACCCCGCCTTCCTTCCCCTATAGATTTATATGCTTTCCATGTCATTTACTGTGATCCATTCTCTCTAAATGACCAAACCACCTCAACAACCCCTCTTCTGCCCTCTGACTAATACTTTTATTAACTCCACACCTTCTCCTAATTTCCACACTCCGAATTTTCTGCATAATATTTACACCACACATTGCCCTTAAACAGGACATCTCCGCTGCCTCCAACCGTCTCCTCGCTGCTGCATTTACCACCCAAGCTTCACACCCATATAAGAGTGTTGGTACTACTATACTTTCATACATTCCCTTCTTTGCCTCCATAGATAACGTTTTTTGACTCCACATATACCTCAACGCACCACTCACCTTTTTTCCCTCATCAATTCTATGATTAACCTCATCCTTCATAAATCCATCCGCCGACACGTCAACTCCCAAGTATCTGAAAACATTCACTTCTTCCATACTCCTCCTCCCCAATTTGATATCCAATTTTTCTTTATCTAAATCATTTGACACCCTCATCACCTTACTCTTTTCTATGTTCACTTTAAAACTTTCTACCTTTACACACATTCCCAAACTCATCCACTAACCTTTGCAATTTTTCTTTAGAATCTCCCATAAGCACAGTATCATCAGCAAAAAGTAACTGTGTCAATTCCCATTTTGAATTTGATTCCCATAATTTAATCCCACCCCTCTCCCAAACACCCCAGCATTTACTTCCTTTACAACCCCATCTATAAATATATTAAACAACCATGGTGACATTACACATCCCTGTCTAAGACCTACTTTTACCGGGAAGTAGTCTCCCTCTCTTCTACACACCCTAACCTGAGCCTCACTATCCTCATAAAAACTCTTTACAGCATTTTTAAAAACTTACCACCTATTCCATATACTTGCAACATCTGCCACATTGCTCCTCTATCCACTCTTCATATGCCTTTTCTAAATCCATAAATGCAATAAAAACTTCCCTATCTTATCTAAATACTGTTCACATATATGCTTCAATGTAAACACCTGATCTACACATCCCCTACCCACTCTAAAACCTCCTTGCTCATCCGCAATCCTACATTCTGTCTTACCTCTAATTCTTTCAATTATAACCCTAAACCGTACACTTTTCCTGGTATACTCAGTAAGCTTATTCCTCTATAATTTTTACAGTCTCTTTTGTCCCCTTTCCCTTTATATAAAGGGACTATACATGCTCTCTGCCAATCCCTAGGTACCTTCCCCTCTTTCATACATTTATTTAAAACAAAAGTACCAACCACTCCAACACTATATCCCCCCCTGCTTTTAACATTTCTGTCATGATCCATCAGTTCCAGCTGCTTTACCCCCTTTCATTTTACGTAATGCCTCACGTACCTCCCCCACACTTACATTCTGCTCTTCTTCACTCCTAAAAGATGGTATACCTCCCTGACCAGTGCATGAAATTACTGCCTCTGTTTCTTTCCTTAACATTTAAAGTTTCCTCAAAATATTCTCGCCATCTACCCAATACCTCCATCTCCCATCTACTAACTCCCCTACTCTGTTTTTAACTGACAAATCCATATTTTCCCTAGGCTTTCTTAACTTGTTTAACTCACTCCAAAATTTTTTCTTATTTTCATTAAATTTCTTGACAGTGCCTCTCCCACTCTATCATCTGCTCTCCTTTTGCACTCTCTCACCACTCTCTTTACCTTTCTTTTACTCTCCATATACTCTGCTCTTCTTATAACACTTCTGCTTTTTTAAAAACCTCTCATAAGCTACCTTTTTCTCTTTTATCACACCCTTTACTTCATCATTCCACCAATCACTCCTCTTCCTCCTGCCCCCACCCTCCTATAACCACAAACTTCTGCCCCACATTCTAATACTGCATTTTTAAAACTATTCCAACCCTCTTCAACCCCCCACTACTCATCTTTGCACTAGCCACCTTTCTGCCAATAGTCGCTTATATCTCACCCGAACTTCCTCCTCCCTTAGTTTATACACTTTCACTTCCTCTTACTTGTTGTTGCACCTTCCTCTTTTCCCATCTACCTCTTACTCTAACTGTAGCTACAACTAAATAATGATCCGATATATCAGTTGCCCCTCTATAAACATGTACATCCTGGAGCCTACCCATCAACCTTTTATCCACCAATACATAATCTAATAAACTACTTTCATTACGTGCTACATCATACCTTGTATATTTATTTATCCTCTTTTTCATAAAATATGTATTACTTATTCCCAAAAATTCTTTCTACACATAGCTCAATTAAAGGCTCCCCATTTACATTTACCCTGGCACCCCAAATTTACCTACTACTCCCCTCCATAACATTTTTACCCACTTTAGCATTAAAATCCCCAACCACCATTACTCTCACACTTGATTCAAAACTCCCCACGCATTCACTCAACATTTCCCAAAATCTCTCTCTCTCCTCTACACTTCTCTCTTTCTCCAGGTGCATACACGCTTATTATAACCCACTTTTCACATCCAATCTTTATTTTACTCCCCATAATCCTTTAAATTAATACATTTATAGTCCCTCTTTTCCTGCCATAGCTTATCCTTCAACATTATTGCTACTCCTTCTTTAGCTCTAACTCTATTTGAAACCCCTGACCTAATCCCATTTATTCCTCTCCACTGAAACTCTCCCACCCCCCTTTAGCTTTGTTTCACTTAAAGCCAGGACATCCAGCTTCTTCTCATTCATAACATCCACAATCATCTCTTTCTTATCATCTGCACAACATCCACGCACATTCAGACTTCCCACTTTGACAATTTTCTTCTTCTTATTCTTTTTAGTAATCTTTACAGGAAAGGGGTTACTAGCCCATTGTTCCCGGCATTTTAGTTGACTTTTACAAAAACGCATGGCTTACGGAGGAAAGATTCTTATTCCACTTCCCCATGGATATAAAAGGAAAATTAATAAGACCAAGAACTATTAAGATAAAATCAAAGAAAACTCAGATGAGTGTGTATAAATAAATGTGTACATGTATGTGTAGTGTGACCTAAGTGTAAGTAGAAGTAGCAAGACATGCCTGTAATCTTGCATATTTATGAGACAGACAAAAGACATCAGCAATCCTACCATCATGTAAAACAATCACAGGCTTCGTTTTACACTCACTTGGCAGGACGGTAGTACCTCCCTGGGTGGTTGCTGTCTACCAACCTACTACCTAGGTTGCTATGTATGAAGTATAATGAATTGTTGTAACAGGTGGCCCATTTGACTTAATGCGTCGGCGAGTACTGTGTGCTTCAACACAAGAATTAGCAGAGAAGATAGCTAAGCTCCTGAAGCAGTACCAACCAGAACGAGATGATGCTCATTAGTAATGAGGAATTTGTTGAAAATGGCAGTTTGAAGTCATAGCTTTTTTAGCCAAGCACTGTAAGTATTGTAATGTGTAATTGTCCCTTTTAAATTAACCCTTGAGCAAGAAAAAGCTTTTATGATTGACAGTATATAAAAACATTTACTGTAATTGAATACAACTTTTTGATTTTGTATATTAATGAATATTGTTTACGTATTTGTGGTTTAGAAAGACATGTGAGCAAACACTAGGACGTATTTATTTGAAAACGTTTTGGTCCTGGGACCTTGATCCAGTGGAGGACCTACATTTTTGGGGCCCTGAAGCTTGAACTGTTATAGGGGTCCCTTTGCAACCCCTTCTCATACAGTAACCCCAAAATTTTTAAGCCATATGGACTAAAGTCTCTTCTGGGGCCCCTCTGGGATTAGGGGCCCTGAGGCTTGAGCTTCATTAGTTTCATAGTAGATCTGCCCCTGCCTTGATCACTTCTAACCCTCAGAAGTGATCAAGGTCCCAGGACCAAAATGTTTTCTAATAAATGTGTCCTACTGTTTGCTTGCACGTCTTTCTCAACCAATTTGTCACTATCTAACACTGAGGTTTATAACAATATTTGCTTCTCCACACAGTCCCATCTCTGCAAACTACTGAAGACTTTACGTGCGTGAAGGCCTGGAGTATGGTTTTCAGAAATCCTTGACAAATTCACAAGGTTCTTTTTCCCCATGTGGTCATCATCTTCATGATGGATCATTCCCAGACAGAACAAGGAATTAAACTACTCTACTGTACTGTACACTGTTTGAATAGTTAATATATAAAAAACTAAATACTATACAATGAAACCTCGGTTTTCGAATTTAATTAGTTTTAGATGTCGATTTGACAACCAAAATCGACAACAACCTAAAGTAATTTTTCTCAGAAAGTATAATGTAAATTAGAATTAATCTCTTCCAGACCCCAAATGATAATGCAGTAATATATTAATAATGTAGTAATTACTACATACAATAATGTATAAAATTATACAGCACAGGGAAACTTGCTTTTTTACAAATAATGGTCACTGAAACACTATCACCCTGTAACTTGTTTTTCATTTATCCAAATCGACAAGAGTTTTTTAATCTCGGTAATTTGTGGCCTTTGCTTTAATATCACTTTCATGCCTTTGGCAACATCAACTGCTTAATTTTTTATCTTTGGTCCAAAATTGTGCTAATGGTAGACACATTTAACAAAAAGTTTTTCTATGTCAACCATGTGGAGCTGATCTTCATACTTACTAACTTCTTTTTTTAAACTCAACAGTGCTTTTTACAACTTTCTTTTTACTTTCATCTCTCTATCCTTCTTTGGACCCATGATTTATCTCGCAATAAAAAACAGTGCACCAAAACTGCAAAATAACAAAAAAAGTTCACAAGATGCACAATGAAAGCTCGAGAGATGTTTTCAGTATGCGAGTTAGTGGCAATACTGACTCATACCCATGCTCTCAACCAATTGTCCAATGCGCATTCTGTGAGCACGTGACCTGAGCCACTTTATCCTATTCTGTGCTCGAAAACTTATCCGTCAACAACCAAGAGAACATACGAAAACCAGGCTAACATGCACATATACACATACACATGATGCAATAAGATCACAGTAAACAAGTGATATCACAATATTCAGAACTGTGAAAAAATAGGGAAATTCCAAGCACTTTCATGATTTCTCACATTATCAAGTTACTGATAATGTGAGAAATCACTACAGCATTTGGATTTCACTATTTTTTTTCAGTGGTTGTTCTGCATATAGACATATATGTTTATATACACTTTAGTAATATTAGCAAAGTGAAAAGTAAATAAATATGTACCATGTATACAGTATTTTGGTATTACTGTTATTCAGATGGTCATCTGGGAAAGGATCTCATAGTTACAAACATAGGTTTATAAATATGTTAACCCTTTCGCTGTCCAGACCCACAATGAAACTTGCTCTCTAGTGTCCAAAAATACCCCCCCTCCCCCTTCCAAAAAAAAAAAAAAATTGTCTGAAATAGTAGACAATTTTTTTCTGAAGGTATTGCCACCAAGAGTATGAAATTTGATGGAAAGTTCACAGAATTATGCAAGTGTAAATGTCTTCCATTCTATCAAATGATACCAAGAAAGAGCCAATAAAACAATAAAAACTATCCAACACAACACCACAAAGTCATTTTTTTAAAACCCACCCCAACCTTTGATTTTTTTTTTTTCCACCCCCGTGAACCGCATGGGCAGGATTGTTTAATATGGTGCAATGTATGCACGACCTATTCCTCTCATTCTATGCCAAAAATTTCCACCAAGCTTTCTAAGTAAGCTACATCATGATGTAGAACTATGTCGGGGGATTTGGGCCTCAAGACCAGAGCAGTTTTGGACACGAAAGGGTTGAAGTCCTTTTTATGGTACTGCAAAAAATATTTATTATATAATAATGTTTAGTACCATTATCATGTATTTGGAAAATGAGATTTAGTACATTCTTTTTAAAACTAAAGGGTACACAAAAAAAAAAAAAAAAAAAAAATAAGATTTTTCCCTTTTTGTAAATTATACAATTGAAAAATATACCAGGATAGGGAAAAAATTTATTGGGGACAGAAAGCAGTGTCTGTGTTTTCGTAAATACATACTTGGATGTCTTGGCCCGGGCCTTTATTTGTCTGTTATATTTAATATTTTAATTAATTTTTTTTATTTTAAATCATTCCCTTCCCTCTTGCTCCCCCAATCCCCCTGAATTTTCCCTGCCCGCTGCGCTGTAACACCCTTGTGGGTTAGCATTCTTTTTTTTTTTTTTTTTTTTTTTTTTTTTTTTTTATCACACCGGCCGATTCCCACCAAGGCAGGGGGCCCGAAAAAAAAAACTTTCCCCATCTTCACCATCCTGTCTTGCCAGAAGGGGGGCTTTACACTACAGTTTTTAAACTGCAAAATTAACACCCCTCTTCGATGCAGGCACTGACTTCCCCTCTCCGGACTCAAGTCCCGGGCCCGCCGGGTTTCCCCGAATCCCTTTATAAAGTTACTTTGCTACACTCCCCAAAGCACGCAAATATTAAAAACCATTTGTCTCCTTTCACTCCTATCAAACACGCTCACGCATGCCCGCTGGAAATCCAAAACCCCTCGCACACAAAACCCCCCTTTACCCCCCCCCTCCAACCCTTCCCAGGCGACCCCTCCCGCCTTCCTTCCACTACAGACTGATACACTCTTGAAGTCATTCTGTTTTTTTGCTCCTTCTTTACTGTCCGAAAAACCCCCTCAAAAACCCTTCCCCCAGCCCTCTGGACAAAAGTTTTGGTAATCCCGCACCTCCCCCTAACTTCCAAACTACGAATTCTCTGCATTAATTCACACCCCACATTGCCCCCAGCTGCATCCCCTGCCTCAGCCTTCTCCCCGCTGCAACATTCATCACCCCCCTTTACACCCAAATTTAAAAGGTTGGTAAAACTATACTCTCATACATTCCCCTCTTTGCCTCCAAGGACAAAGTTTTTTGTTTCCACAGACTCCTAAGTGACCATCACCTTTTTCCCTCATCAATTCTAGATTCACCTTCTTTTATAGACCCCTCCCCAACACCCCCTCCCAAATTCGAATAGTTCACCTCCTCCATACTCTCTCCCTCCAATCTGATTTCAATCTTTTACACCCAATCTTTTTTTTATCCTCAAACCTTACTCTTTTCCCGTATCACCTTTAATTTTCTTCTTTTTCACACCCTCCCAAAATTTCCCACCCAAACCTGCAACTTCTTTCAAAATCTCCCCGAGCACAGTGTCATCGCAAAAAAGCGCTGTGACAACTCCACTTTGTGTTTTATTCTTTATCTTTTAAAATCCACGCCCCTTTTCCAAAAACCCCCGCATTTACTTCTCTTTCAACCCCTCTATAAAAAATATTAACAACCACGGTGACATCCCCATCCTTGTCTAAGGCCTACTTTTTATGGAAAAAAAATTTTCCCTCTTTCCTACATACTCTAACTTGAGCCTCACTATCCTCGTAAAAACTCTTCACTGCTTTCAGTAACCTACCTCCTACACCATACACTTGCAACATCTGCCACATTGCCCCCCTATCCACCCTGTCATACGCCTTTTCCAAATCCATAAATGCCACAAAGACCTCTTTAGCCTTATCTAAATACTGTTCACTTATATGTTTCACTGTAAACACCTGGTCCACACACCCCCTACCTTTCCTAAAGCCTCCTTGTTCATCTGCTATCCTATTCTCCGTCTTACTCTTAATTCTTTCAATTATAACTCTACCATACACTTTACCAGGTACACTCAACAGACTTATCCCCCTATAATTTTTGCACTCTCTTTTATCCCCTTTGCCTTTATACAAAGGAACTATGCATGCTCTCTGCCAATCCCTAGGTACCTTACCCTCTTCCATACATTTATTAAATAATTGCACCAGCCACTCCAAAACTATATCCCCACCTGCTTTTAACATTTCTATCTTTATCCCATCAATCCCGGCTGCCTTACCCCCTTTCATTTTACCTACTGCCTCACGAACTTCCCCCACACTCACAACTGGCTCTTCCTCACTCCTACAAGATGTTATTCCTCCTTGCCCTATACACGAAATCACAGCTTCCCTATCTTCATCAACATTTAACAATTCCTCAAAATATTCCTTCCATCTTCCCAATACCTCTAACTTTTTATTATAATAATAAAAAAAATCATTATATATTAATTTAATGTACACTGTGCACTTCACAAAAACAAACATTCAGAACTAATAAATTTTATTTTGACATTTGTGTTTCCTTGTCGATATTAGGATTGATTATTCCAAATCCACATTGAAATGAAACTGAAAGAAGGAAAACAGTTAAGGAAAAGTTGGGTTTTATATTAGTTGGATTTTATATTAGTTGCAGTAAAATTGGTAAGTGAGAGGAGAGCAATAACAATTTTCCTGATCCCATCCACATTATCTTCAAAGACTTTAATGTGAATTTTTGTTTTCAACACACTGGCCATCTCCCACTGAGGCTGGTGACCCAAAAAGAAAAATGCAAGTTTTTCTTTTTAAATTTAGTAATATATACAGAAGGGGTTACTAGCTCCTTGCTCCCTTTATATGAAGTTACAGTAATTATATGCAAAATCATGTCTTGTTTGCATGGATCTTGATTTGTTTTTCATTTGCGCCTCTTTCTTTTGGGATAAAATTTCATCTCTAACACGTGTCACATTATTGAACACGTTAGATATTTTGTGCATCTTTTGTGTGCGATTACATATCTTTTACACTCCTTGAATCCTTAAGGGATTGGAGGTTCCTTGGTCTCTGTAAAGTGCTCTTGACCTAGAAAATTGGATTTACCCTTTACTTGGATCAAACCTGATGACCTCCCATTTCCAATGAGCATTATGATCCCTTTGGGTTTAATGCTTTCATATGAGAATAATAATGATAAACTGCTTGAACTTTGGCACTATCAGGAGGACAGTTAGATGCTCCTATGCAGCAACACTTACACCCTTCACCACTTACTTCCCTAATAGGTTACATCTCTTCAATTGGATTTGTTTTCAAGATTTTACTCCTTTATAAAGATTTTACTTTTTTTAAAAAATCAGGTTCTTTTGGGTGTGGCCAATACAGTTATCAACCAACTGCCCTTGTTGGCTGCATTTGAAAATTACTTAAACATAAGGTTATCACAAGACTTCTCGGTTCTTGAAAACCTGAAATTGTCCCTTCATTTTGGCTATAGGCCCATTACTCCTAGATAGATTAATTCATAATATATAATACTTCTGAATATCGCCTTGTTATGGCTATCTTTTTCTTTTTGAGAGCATTTAGTTTGGAAATGAGGTACACATGGTGTATTTAGGACATTTCTTGAGGGGACTTTTTTTCCCACTGGAGGGTTTTGTAATCCAACTGTTTTCAATTCAATTCATTGGACTTGTAAGGCCCTGGTATGTGCAATGTTTCATCAGTAAAGTCCTAATAATGCATTTTTTTTTTTTTCAACAAGTCGGCCATCTCCCACCAAGGCAGGGTGACCCAAAAAAGAAAGAAAATCCCCAAAAAGAAAATACTTTCATCATCATTCAACACTTTCACCTCACTCACGCATAATCACTGTTTTTGCAGAGGTGCTCAGAATACAACAGTTTAGAAGCATATACGTATAAAGATACACAACATATCCCTCCAAACTGCTAATATCCCAAAACCCCTCCTTTAGAGTGCAGGCACTGTACTTCCCATTTCCAGGACTCGAGTCCGGCTATATAAAAATAACCGGTTTCCCTGAATCCCTTCACTAAATATTACCCTGCTCACACTCCAACAGATTGTCAGGTCCCAAATACCATTCGTCTCCATTCACTCCTATCGAACACGCTCATGCACGCCTGCTGGAAGTCCAAGCCCCTCGCCCACAAAACCTCCCTTACCCCTTCCTTCCAACCTTTTCGAGGACGACCCCTACCCCGCCTTCCTTCTCCTACAGATTTAAATGCTCTCCGTGTTATTCTATTCTGATCCATTCTCTCTAAATGACCAAACTATAATGCATGTCTTGCTTATATAAAATAATAAATTTTATTCGGAAATCCTTCGAAGAAGGGCATTTCCAAGGGAGATACCTTGATGCTAATGATGGACTGTATCCAAGGAATTGGAGCTGTCTTCCTCTTCCTCGGATTCATCCTGATTTACCTCCCATTTTCCATGTGTTGTATGGCCCCTGTAGGCTTAGCACTCTTCCATAAATATAATGGTAATTATCATGAATTCATATTCACTGTAGTCAGGACAGTCTGATAGCTTAATATATTATGCACTCCATACCCATCTTTTGGGTGGTAGTCAAAAGATTACAGAGGCACACACACTGGGTTCAAGGACTGAGTCATAGGTTCTGCTGGGTAAGCAAATTTCAGTAATAAATTGTTGACATGAATAATGAGTTCTGTAACAAAATTAATGAATAAGATCAGTGATGATAATACCAGTAGTGGCATTACAAAGGTTAATGGCTTCAGGAACTGGGCGTCAAAACTGATTAAGCAGGTTAAACTAGTAATGACCTGGTTACACAATTAGGTTAGTGAAATCACATATTTAAATGTTGCATTTTTTTTCAACACACTGGCTGTATTCCACCGAGGCAGGGTGACCTAAAAAGAAAAGTTTTTCTTTTTAAATTTAATAATTTATATAGGAGAAGGGGTAATTAGACCCTTGCTCCCAGCATTGCATACTAGTAGCTTTTGTGCCTACCAATGTTTTGTTACGTGTAAATTACATATTTGTACCACATAAAGAAATAAAAATTTTAATTTGAATACAGGCACTCCCCTCAAAGGAGGTTCTTTGATGCTGGTGAGGGGCTCGATCTAGGGAATTGGATTTGTTGTCCGGTTCCCTCGCTGTATAGCCCTTGTGGCTTAGCGCTTCTTTTTGATTATAATAATAATGTCCGGTTCCCTGAATTGAATGCCTTCCATCATCCCCCCACATGCGCTGTATAATCCTATGGGTTTAGCACTCCCTCATGATTATAATAATAATAATAATGCATAAAGGCACTGGAGCTTTATGACCCTCACAGCTGTTTCAGTTCAGACTGGGCATCAGTTCTTTTTTTTTTTATTTCCTTAGAGTTGAAGTGGTTAAGAGCTATTTACTTTAGGCCAGATTGTAATATTTGGCAGTTTGGAGGGATATGTTGTGTATCTTCATACGTATATGCTTCTAAACTGTTGTATTCTGAGCACCTCTGCAAAAACAGTGATTATGTGTGAGTGTGGTGAAAGTGTTGAATGATGATGAAAGCATTTTCTTTTTGGGTATTTTCTTTCTTTTTTGGGTCACCCTGCCTCGGTGGGAGACAGCCGACTTGTTGAAAAAAAAAAATAATAATATTTGGGTAGAATGTTAGGTAATATACATCTGTATGAAATATTTAGATGTTATTTGAGCATTTATGAGGAAGTTGTCTATAAATTATTGATTTTTTTTTGACATTGAAGCACATAATATACCTATAAAATCTTTAAGAAATGTTTAATTTGAGGCATATTTAAACTTCCCAGCAGCGTAAGTATATACACAGCTTAAATATTTATATTAAAAAAAAGTCATAACTGTATACAGTACTGACAACGAAGTTCGGATGTAATTTCTAACAATTTTGCTACCAAATTAAGACTGTCATCGATGTTGTGTATGTCGGATCCTTGGAGGGGGTCTCAATCCTGGTGAAATTCTCTTGATTCAAGAAACTGGAGTTACCCTACCCCCTCCTTGAATCAAATCTGTTTTCCTCCTATTTTCCAGGTTCTCTGTGACCCCAATGCATTTAGTGCTTCCCCATGAATATAATGATATGCATGCTAGGGTAGTACCTTGGCATTTCCATCACAGTGGGTAGAAATTATATACTGTTATTACAAGTCTAATTGAATGCTGCAAGCACCAGCAGCCTGACTGATCATGTCATCAACCAGTAGACTTGATCTGAAGCTGGATTGTGGCCATGGTGATTCTTAGAAGGATACAGACAGCAGGTACTCCTAAGTTACATCCCTACAAATCCTTACTAGTCTTATGGTAGAAGAATTTCTTTTGTAAGTAAGTTTATTCAGGCACAGGTATACATAAGTACAATTATCATACATAGTGTAAATTACCTAGGATAACCCCAAAAAAAAGTCAAAGTGGCTCATTACCATAATCCTATGGATTATTAACCCCGGAAGCACAGTGCTTGTGCTCTGAAGGTGGGGTTGAAATTTTTTTTTTTTTTAACTAGTGTAGGCACGCCTCTGGCAAGACAGCGATGGAGTGTATGATGAAAGTGTTTTTTTCTTTTTCGGGTCACCTTGCCTCAGAGGGAAACAGTCAATGTGTTAATAATAAAAAAATCTAATAAAGTCAGTGTTGTTTGTTTATGTTAAGTTCTTTAATTGGTCCTTTTGCCAGGATGCAGCCCAACAGTTGTATGGAAAAACGAAAGTTTTAGGATGCATAAAATTGTGCATAATTTATTTTTTTCTAACTTGAACGCTAACAGTCAAAACAGTGTATACGTTTTTTTATGCTGCTTAAACCACTGTCAAAATCTCATTGAAACTGGACCCCCCAAAAAACAAAAATTGGTGATTTTGCTTGCCCCTCCCTTAAGTACTTGTTATATCTAGGTGCATGTAGGCAGGAACTGGCAGCTGTTTTATAAACTTGCTCATGCTTCTTGCCTCTACCAGGATTGAACCTGGGTCCTTTAAGCATTATTTAAATTGCAGCTATGAAAATAAATCAATGTGTGTGATGGAATACGACAGGAAAACCAGCCTGTGTGATGGAGTATGACAGGAAAACCAGCCTGTGTGATGGAGTATGACAGGAAAACCAGCCTGTGTGATGAGTATGACAGGAAAACCAGCCTGTGTGATGAGTATGTCAGGAAAACCAGCCTGTGTGATGAGTATGACAGGAAAACCAGCCTGTGTGATGAGTATGACAGGAAAACCAGCCTGTGTGATGGAGTATGACAGGAAAACCAGCCTGTGTGATGGAGTATGACAGGAAAACCAGCCTGTGTGATGGAGTATGACAGGAAAACCAGCCTGTGTGATGAGTATGACAGGAAAACCAGCCTGTGTGATGGAGTATGACAGGAAAACCAGCCTGTGTGATGGAGTATGACAGGAAAACCAGCCTGTGTGATGAGTATGACAGGAAAACCAGCCTGTGTGATGGAGTATGACAGGAAAACCAGCCTGTGTGATGAGTATGACAGGAAAACCAGCCTGTGTGATGAGTATGACAGGAAAACCAGCCTGTGTGATGAGTATGACAGGAAAACTAGCCTGTGTGATGAGTATGACAGGAAAACCAGCCTGTGTGATGAGTATGACAGGAAAACCAGCCTGTGTGATGAGTATGACAGGAAAACTAGCCTGTGTGATGAGTATGACAGGAAAACTAGCCTGTGTGATGAGTATGACAGGAAAACCAGCCTGTGTGATGAGTATGACAGGAAAACCAGCCTGTGTGATGGATAAAAGTATGAGCGGAAAAGCATTGTGATGAAGTATTATGGAAAACCTGTATGTTATGTGATATATGTGTTAGGTGAGCATAGTTCTTGTTATAAGCTTGTAAAGTGCCTTGTAGAAAACAAAGACCAAACATTGTGATGTAGACTATTTTTATTTAAAAAAATGTATCCGCACAATGCTTTTATTCAAAATTTACTAAGAATTTATTCAAGCTAATAATAATAATAATAATATAATATATTTATTTCTACAAGTACGAGGTATAAAGGCCTAGCCGACATCAATGACGTACTGCTATAAAGTCCCTTGTTATATAGAGCATTTCGGCAAATTAGGTCAATTTTGTCCCAAGATGCGACTCACACCAGTCGACTAACACCCAGGTACCCATTTTACTGATGGGTGAACAGGTGTACGGAAACACATCCAATGTTTCCACTCTTGCCGAGAAGCGAACCCAGATTCTCAGCGTGTGAAGCGAGAGCTTTGCCTACCAGGCCACGGGCCACCTTATGATATTACCAAATATTAACTTATATGTTTAAACCACCTTAATAAATATATAAATAGATCATATCTGACTACTGCGTTGTAAGTTTGATTTAGGAAACTCATAAATTCTACGGACACTAGCATGCATTTTTTACAATGGTTCTAAAGAAAGATAAATGGTTTCGGAATATGAAATAGTAACACATTATGGAGATTTAATCTAGATTAATCAAATAAGCTGAAAGTGGGACTTTATTTCCACTGGGATCCTTATTAAATTATCACTAGAGTATTACCCACCAGGATAACCCCAAAAATTTACTTATTTCAATTGGGCTGAATGCAAATATTGTAGTAAATTTAAATAGATATGCAAAATGCGTAAATCCAGGGTGGATAAAATTTACTACCTGTCTTTTTTAACATGCAGTGTCTTAGATAATAACTTGTGTTTTTATTTTTGTTTTTTATAAAGGAGGAAGAAGTGAAGGCCGCAGGGCTGCTGTCTTCTGATGTGGAGTCCATACATACCCTCTCTAACTTCCCCTTTTTTCTCACCTTTCAAGATAATCCGACAAGATTAAACCACCTAAAACCTTACTAGTCTTAACCCTAAGCATTTCCTAGCAAATCAAATATTCTAACGTGAATGGGTTTAAGCCTTATTAAAGAAAATATTTTGAATATTGTCAGTGAGATTGTATGTTAGATGTATGCATCAGCTGCTGCCATCTGTCGAGCTGACGTGGCATGAGGCGAGATGTCTGTGTGTAAACATTCCTCTACTAACTTCAATATTTGAGCTAAAACTGGCAAAATGTTATCGTGGAGGACCTTATTTTTCATCTGCAACTTGCTATTCGTGGTTGTAGGTGACGAGCACACACACACGGTAAGAGGGAGAGGCGAGAGAGCCTATAATAAGGGGGTCACACCTCCCCAGGGGACCAACATACCGGTCCTCTATGTCATTATGACCCACTAGTCGTGAAGTTTTATTTTTAATTGTTTAAAGTTAAATAATGAAGTATTCTTATAGGTAAATTATGGTATAACTTTCCACAGTTCAGTTGGAAGTGAATTATTTGTCTGTTGGGTTATCCTAAGTCTTGGTTAATTATATGTATTTACCACCACTATGTCTATAATAATTACTTAATGCAAACATTAGGTAAGAAAATTAAAATATAGTAGCACTGCAGTAGGCCTACTTTCACCCAGCTACTACTTATATACCTGAACAACATATTTTTAAACCTAGGGCCTTAAAACCTTAATACTGGTGAGAAGCTCTTGATCTAAACAAAGAAACAATTTTGATATCTTTGTGCAGTATAAAAATGTAGTTGTAATAAAATATTGCTAAGTACAAAAGAAAGCCACTAGCATGATTGGAATGAACCAGAATGCTCCCTCCATTCCCCAGGCACTATGTGACCCTTACTAGTATAGCTCTCCCTCCCTTCCCTGATTAAAATAAATAAGGTCACTCAAACTTCTCATTTCAGTGATGCTAATAGGTAGTTTTTTCCACTGATTCATTACTCTATTGTCAAAGCAGCACTTCCTATATCCTTTATAAATCTAAATTTGTCTTAACTTGAACCCATTGCTGTGAGTCCTGTTTAGGTATTTTCAGCAATTTTTTTTTGAACACTGGCCATTGCCCACTGAGATAGGTTGACCGGAAAAATAAAGGAACACTTACCATCATTCACTCTGTCACTATCTTGCCAGAGGAGTGCCAACATTACAGCTCAGATGACCCTCCAAACTACATTATCCCCACCCCTCTGTCCCTCTACAGATTTATATTGTCTCCAAATTACTCTGCTTGTCTTCTGTTTTTCTTATCTCTTATCCTTCTCTATCCTCGCTAAATGTCCAAACCACCTCAACAACCTCTCCTCAGCTCTCTGACTAATACTTTTTGTGATCCTGCACCTCATTCTAATTTCCAGACTACAAATTCTCTGCATGATATTCACCACACATTGCCCTTAGACATATCTCTACATCTTTCTCTTATTTATTCTGTTTTCCATTTGTACACTTCAATCATATCCCATCTAATTCTATGTCTTTCCAGAGAATGCAAATTCATTGTTTTCAGCATATCTTCATAGGAAAGGTTTCTGATACATAGGATCAACTTTGTCATGCTTGTCCCTATAAGTTCCATTTATGCCCATTCTGTAATATGGAGACCAAACTGAGCAGCCTGACCAAAGATATAAAGAGTTGAAGTGTAACCTTAGGACTTTTGTTATTTATAATTTTTGACATAAAGCCAAGACTTATGTTAGCTGCTACAAAACCAAGACCTCTATTAGTTTTATTACAGACACATAGGCACTTGTATTGGCTGTTGATTAATGATAAATACCAGAACACCGAACTCTTGATTTCCCTGGGGTAGTTGAGATAATGCTGGGTAATTGAAATAAGCTAAGTTTTTCTTAATTCTACTGGTACCATACCTTTTAATATTTCTCATACCATTGTATTGTATGCTGTATATTATAATCCTATAGAGTATTATGATTTATTACATTCATGGGGAAGCATGAAACTTGTATGGGTCATACAGCACCTGGGAATGGAAGGCAGTCATGTTTGATCTAAGGATCTTTGAAGACTGTAGCATTACTATTCATGCAGGCTACAATGAGTATGCTCAGTATAATGCTGGAATATTTTTATATATGTACATTATTCTTGTATATTTTCAGTATAAAGACTTAGAAGAGGTAGTACTATGGATGAACACAGTGGGTCCCTACCACAACCGGCAAGAAACGTACTCCTATTTCTCTCTTCCATTTTGTGTGGGTCCCAAGGAGAAGATATCTCATTATCATGAGACCCTGGGTGAAGCACTGCAAGGTGTTGAGCTAGAGTTTTCTGGACTAGACATAGACTTTAAGAGTAAGTGTGGAACTTTTTGGGTTATGTATTTTATAGTGTTTTGTATATAATTAAGTACAGCATATTAACAAAACTGCACTGTATTGCTAAGTGTTAATGATAAGAACACTTTTTAAATACAGTCTCTCCTCACTTAACGATGGAGTTTCGTTCCTAAGAGTAGGTCAGTAAATGAACTGGTTGTTAAGCAAGGAGCATACTATACTGGTAGTGGGTTTGTGTCAACTATCTTTAGATACATGTATTGTTTTAATGTTTTTTAGTATATTTTTAAATGTTAGTACAGTAGTGTACTGTGTATTGTAATAAATAGAATAGAGGAAATTAGCTCTGACATACATTACATACTGGTCAGAGAGCTGATCGTAAGTCTGAGTGGTCATTAAACAAGTACGTCGTTAAGTGAGGAGAGAGTATTGCAGAGAAAGCTTCATTTGTATATTCCATGTACTGTGTGAAAGTTTGTTTACATCTACGTATTATAGGATTTGTAATTACTGTATGGGAACAATAACCCATGCAAAGATATTTATACTCGACTCTTATTAGACACTAATTTTGTGTGTGTTTATTTACTGTATATTTTTTGTTTTGTTTAAAACACTGGCCATCTGTCACAAAGGCAGGATAACCTGAAAAAATAAAAAATTTAAGTTTTTCCTTTTTTACATTTAACCCTTAAACTGTCCAAACGTAGAGCTACATTCATGTGTGTAGCTCTTGGATCGTAGATCTTCATTTTATTTTACATGATTTCAACTTTGGCATGATAAGCCAGAGTTGCCTAGACATGAGAGAATGAGTCTGTGCACTCAGTGTGCGCAGTATGACAAAATTTGAGGATGCCGGGAAAAAGGTGCTCTTTATTTTAAACAAAAAACTATTTTTTTTTTTTTTCCGAAAATATTCAGAGCGGTATGCAAGTGAACGTTGATCTACATTTGGACAGGTTAAGGGTTAATAATATAGATAGTGCAGATGAGGCCACTGTTGAAGCTGCATGGCCCCACTTGAAATTGGTGTACAAGTTGTTTCCAGACTTTCTAGAAAATCTAGACTTTAACCATCTGTTGCCATATATGTTGTAGTGATCAAAAATTTGTCTTGCAGCTGGTGTCATAACTCTCTACACAAACTGTAAAAACGTTTGCTTAGGAGGATATGTTGTGTTCCTGTGCACAGATCAATATTTTTTTTTTTTTTTTTATTATCACACCGGCCGATTCCCACCAAGGCAGGGTGGCCCGAAAAAGAAAAACTTTCACCATCATTCACTCCATCACTGTCTTGCCAGAAGGGTGCTTTACACTACAGTTTTTAAACTGCAACATTAACACCCCTCCTTCAGAGTGCAGGCACTGTACTTCCCATCTCCAGGACTCAAGTCCGGCCTGCCGGTTTCCCTGAATCCCTTCATAAATGTTACTTTGCTCACACTCCAACAGCACGTCAAGTATTAAAAACCATTTGTCTCCATTCACTCCTATCAAACACGCTCAAGCATGCCTGCTGGAAGTCCAAGCCCCTCGCACACAAAACCTCCTTTACCCCCTCCCTCCAACCCTTCCTAGGCCGACCCCTACCCCGCCTTCCTTCCACTACAGACTGATACACTCTTGAAGTCATTCTGTTTCGCTCCATTCTCTCTACATGTCCGAACCACCTCAACAACCCTTCCTCAGCCCTCTGGACAACAGTTTTGGTAATCCCGCACCTCCTCCTAACTTCCAAACTACGAATTCTCTGCATTATATTCACACCACACATTGCCCTCAGACATGACATCTCCACTGCCTCCAGCCTTCTCCTCGCTGCAACATTCATCACCCACGCTTCACACCCATATAAGAGCGTTGGTAAAACTATACTCTCATACATTCCCCTCTTTGCCTCCAAGGACAAAGTTCTTTGTCTCCACAGACTCCTAAGTGCACCACTCACTCTTTTTCCCTCATCAATTCTATGATTCACCTCATCTTTCATAGACCCATCCGCTGACACGTCCACTCCCAAATATCTGAATACGTTCACCTCCTCCATACTCTCTCCCTCCAATCTGATATTCAATCTTTCATCACCTAATCTTTTTGTTATCCTCATAACCTTACTCTTTCCTGTATTCACCTTTAATTTTCTTCTTTTGCACACCCTACCAAATTCATCCACCAATCTCTGCAACTTCTCTTCAGAATCTCCCAAGAGCACAGTGTCATCAGCAAAGAGCAGCTGTGACAACTCCCACTTTGTGTGTGATTCTTTATCTTTTAACTCCACGCCTCTTGCCAAGACCCTCGCATTTACTTCTCTTACAACCCCATCTATAAATATATTAAACAACCACGGTGACATCACACATCCTTGTCTAAGGCCTACTTTTACTGGGAAAAAATTTCCCTCTTTCCTACATACTCTAACTTGAGCCTCACTATCCTCGTAAAAACTCTTCACTGCTTTCAGTAACCTACCTCCTACACCATACACTTGCAACATCTGCCACATTGCCCCCCTATCCACCCTGTCATACGCCTTTTCCAAATCCATAAATGCCACAAAGACCTCTTTAGCCTTATCTAAATACTGTTCACTTATATGTTTCACTGTAAACACCTGGTCCACACACACCCCTACCTTTCCTAAAGCCTCCTTGTTCATCTGCTATCCTATTCTCCGTCTTACTCTTAATTCTTTCAATTATAACTCTACCATACACTTTACCAGGTACACTCAACAGACTTATCCCCCTATAATTTTTGCACTCTCTTTTATCCCCTTTGCCTTTATACAAAGGAACTATGCATGCTCTCTGCCAATCCCTAGGTACCTTACCCTCTTCCATACATTTATTAAACAATTGCACCAACCACTCCAAAACTATATCCCCACCTGCTTTTAACATTTCTATCTTTATCCCATCAATCCCGGCTGCCTTACCCCCTTTCATTTTACCTACTGCCTCACGAACTTCCCCCACACTCACAACTGGCTCTTCCTCACTCCTACAAGATGTTATTCCTCCTTGCCCTATACACGAAATCACAGCTTCCCTATCTTCATCAACATTTAACAATTCCTCAAAATATTCCTTCCATCTTCCCAATACCTCTAACTCTCCATTTAATAACTCTCCTCTCCTATTTTTAACTGACAAATCCATTTGTTCTCTAGGCTTTCTTAACTTGTTAATCTCACTCCAAAACTTTTTCTTATTTTCAACAAAATTTGTTGATAACATCTCACCCACTCTCTCATTTGCTCTCTTTTTACATTGCTTCACCACTCTCTTAACCTCTCTCTTTTTCTCCATATACTCTTCCCTCCTTGCATCACTTCTACTTTGTAAAAACTTCTCATATGCTAACTTTTTCTCCCTTACTACTCTCTTTACATCATCATTCCACCAATCGCTCCTCTTCCCTCCTGCACCCACTTTCCTGTAACCACAAACTTCTGCTGAACACTCTAACACTACATTTTTAAACCTACCCCATACCTCTTCGACCCCATTGCCTATGCTCTCATTAGCCCATCTATCCTCCAATAGCTGTTTATATCTTACCCTAACTGCCTCCTCTTTTAGTTTATAAACCTTCACCTCTCTCTTTCCCTGATGCTTCTATTCTCCTTGTATCCCATCTACCTTTTACTCTCAGTGTAGCTACAACTAGAAAGTGATCTGATATATCTGTGGCCCCTCTATAAACATGTACATCCTGAAGTCTACTCAACAGTCTTTTATCTACCAATACATAATCCAACAAACTACTGTCATTTCGCCCTACATCATATCGTGTATACTTATTTATCCTCTTTTTCTTAAAATATGTATTACCTATAACTAAACCCCTTTCTATACAAAGTTCAATCAAAGGGCTCCCATTATCATTTACACCTGGCACCCCAAACTTACCTACCACACCCTCTCTAAAAGTTTCTCCTACTTTAGCATTCAAGTCCCCTACCACAATTACTCTCTCACTTGGTTCAAAGGCTCCTATACATTCACTTAACATCTCCCAAAATCTCTCTCTCTCCTCTGCATTCCTCTCTTCTCCAGGTGCATACACGCTTATTATGACCCACTTCTCGCATCCAACCTTTACTTTAATCCACATAATTCTTGAATTTACACATTCATATTCTCTTTTCTCCTTCCATAACTGATCATTTAACATTACTGCTACCCCTTCCTTTGCTCTAACTCTCTCAGATACTCCAGATTTAATCCCATTTATTTCCCCCCACTGAAACTCTCCTACCCCCTTCAGCTTTGTTTCGCTTAGGGCCAGGACATCCAACTTCTTTTCATTCATAACATCAGCAATCATCTGTTTCTTGTCATCCGCACTACATCCACGCACATTTAAGCAACCCAGTTTTATAAAGTTTTTCTTCTTCTCTTTTTTAGTAATTGTATACAGGAGAAGGGGTTACTAGCCCATTGCTCCCGGCATTTTAGTCGCCTCATACGACACGCATGGCTTACGGAGGAAAGATTCTTTTCCACTTCCCCATGGACAATAGAAGAAATAAAAAAGAACAAGAGCTATTTAGAAAAAGGAGAAAAACCTAGATGTATGTATATATATATATGCATGTGCGTGTCTGTGAAGTGTGACCAAAGTGTTAGTAGGAGTAGCAAGATATCCCTGTTATCTTAGCGTGTTTATGAGACAGAAAAAGATCAAATTAGTAAGATATAGGTTGACGAGTGAGTAGCTTAGATGAGTACAATGGGGATCATAATACACTTAGTACTGTACTGTAATGACTCTGTATATCTATCCTTTATGACACCATTTTTTTTTAATGTGTTGGGTGGAAGCATTGAAATTCGATCAGCTGTCTGTTTAGGTTTAGAAATTTGCCATTTTTACTTTCTGTTTGAGTTACTAATTTAAAGTTGATCAAAGAAGTTTATACTTTTTTTTAAATGTAGTCAGATCTCTTTAATTGGAAATACATGTACTTGGGTCTGAGGGGTATGACTTTTTCTAGTTCTGTTGTCTCTGAATCTGAACAATTATGGAATGCAAATTTTGACTTGCCAGTAATTTGATTGACTTGTATTGTTTGTTAATTTGATTTAATTTTCCATTTCAGCTGATGTATCAAAGACTCCGTATTGTGAAGTTGAGTTGAATGAAGTTCGCCTGAAAACATTTGTTTATGCAGTGAAGAACCACTATTGGTACCAGATGTATATTGATGATCTTCCTATATGGGGTATGTACTTGTTGAATTTTTTTAAGGTGTATACTGTAGCATAAAGTTTCATATATTTTTAGATACCTGATTTGTAAATGGACAAATCATGTTAAATTACTGACTTGTCTAGCTGTATTTGTATTTTTTGAATCTCACTAGGTAAGTTAGAGTTTCTTGAAGGCTGAAGAGGATTCAGGTGAAGTTGTTCATTCTTGGAGGACTTTGTTTCAGTCAAAGAAGTGGGATTCATATCCACTAAGGTAATTAGAGGTGAATAGTGAGTTTGTTAGTCTGAAGAACATCACCTTGGGAAATGTGTGCAGTGTATGCTCCATTATAAAAAAACTGACACCCTCTGTGAACATATCTTACATTTATATCACTCTAGCTCATACCAACTCTCCTCCAACTCTCCCACACCACTCCAGTTCACTTGCACACCATACTAACTTGCTTCCACACCCAGGTCTCTCCTTAACCCCAGTAACTCATTTCCATACTCCTCTAACACTCTCCCACACTACTGCAAGTAATTCCCACACCCCTCCAACTCTTTCTTCAACTACACCCGACCATCTCATTAACACCACACCAAAAAAAAAAAAAAAAAATTAGAGAATCTTTTTTTTAAAGATAATGACACCAAAAATATAAAATTTGATGTACAGGTAATACTTGCACAACCACACAGGCATGAAGTTGGAGGTTGGGAAACACTTTAAACATCAGCAATTTTGCACACTTTATGACCTAAGCTAATTCCAGTGCTGAAACCTATTCATTTCCAGGCTATTTACTATTATGCCTTTTGTACCTTCCAGTGATCGCAAAAAACTACTTAATCAACTGTCAGAACTCCTATAAAGTGCTTGCAGTTCAGTAATTTGTCCTACTTCACACTTATTTTCAACAATTTTCACTTTAAAAATGGAGTTCAGAAAAATGTTGTACGCATTCCAGCCACTAAAGCAACCTTCTCACTGTTCACTAATCACAAACCATGCCATGGGCAGGGATAGAACCCGTGGTCAAAGAGTCATAAAACTCTAGACCCTGACTGCGTGTTCATTCCCCGCCCGTGGTATGGTTTATTTGCAATCATGTCATTACGATTTTGTGAGTCACTAATCACAACCCTGGGGCTCTCCTTTATATCTCGTGCCCTTCAAACACAAAAAAAATTATGTTATTCTCTTATTTCTTGGCTAATAAACCATTACCTAAAATGCTTGGTTATGGTTTAGGCAATACCAGTAATTGAAGCAAATGTAATAAAAACTCGGAAAACAGACTAAGCAAGGATGAGGGATCAGAAAAGTTGCCAAACACTGACTGTTTACATCACTTTTAGACCTATTTCAGGCTACATCCAATCTGAAGCCGATTATGCACTGTGTGGAGTAGGATTTTTTTTTTTTTTTTTACAGTATACACACCCACCAGTATACACCCACCAGTATACACCCACCAGTATACACACCCTCTTTCATATCTGGGCCAGAATTTACTACTAACAGCATATTTGTAGATCTGTGTAAGCACCATTGGTCCCAGTCATATACATCTATGAAAGAGGTTAAGCTTAGTATGGCTGCCAGGAGTCTGGAATGTGTGTACATGCAACATATATGAGAAACACCTATGTACTGTATATAAAATATTGTATTATACTTTATCATACTTTTATAAAAGCCCTTCTCTGCTGAACATTAACTAATTCATTAGTTTACATACCTGACTCCCTATTTTCCTCGCTAACCTAGAAATATCAATGCTATTTTATTTTCAGGTATAGTTGGAGAAATTGATGAGGCCAATGATGTGTACTATATCTGGACTCACAAGAAATTTGACCTTGGTTACAATGGGAATCAGATTGTGGATGTTAACCTCACGTCTGAAGCAAGGCAGAAACTTGAGTTAGGAGCAAAGATCAAGTTTACATATGAGGCAAATTGGAAAAAATCTAGCATCAAGTTTGAGGATAGGTTTGACAAATATTTAGATCCAAACTTCTTCCAACACCGGGTAAGTTATCGATTTCCAGCACTATATGACTTATACAGATTCAGTTTTTGGGTATGTCATGGGCATTCCAAAAACTCATTTGGGATACCTTCTTAATTAATAACTACCTCAAATTTGAAAAACCTGGTCAGATACAGGACATCAAGGGCTATGGTCCCAGAGCCATTAACGAAGATAGTTTACTTACATTTCCAAATAGCTTTGCCAGTAGGCTAACCTCTGGCAAGTCTCCAGACTTCTATGAGTCTACAGCAGTATTCACCTGGCATCATGTGAGTGATTCACTTGGCATAAACATTTGGAGCCGAGACTTTTTTCCCATGGGAAAGTGGATTAAAATCCTTCCGTGGTTACTCGTGCATGTTGCACGAGGTGACTAAAATGCCTGTATAAATTACTAAATGTAAAAAGAAAAACTGTCTTTTTTCTTTTTATGTCACCCTGCCTCGGTGGGAGATGACCAGTGCGTTAAAAAAAAAGAAAATTGTGATATGGGTATCAATTAGGTATCTTAATTGCCATACTTTTACACTAATCTTGTTGCTTCATTGTATCAGTTAATGATCCTTGGGGGTTATGTTTCAGATCCACTGGTTTAGTATCTTCAATTCTTTCATGATGGTGATTTTCCTCGTGGGCTTAGTCTCCATGATACTAATGAGAACTCTACGCAAGGACTATGCACGTTATTCCAAAGATGAAGAGATGGATGACATGGTGAGCCAACTACCAGTTTCTTCGAAGCTAAATTATGATGTGATCTGTATTAACTAATTACCTGTACTGTTGATTTTTTTAAACTGATAACCTGTGGCCCAGTATTTGTGTCAAGAAAAGCTTTAACCTTTAAACTGTCCAAGTGTTGATCTACATTCACGTGCGTAGTGCTCCGGACATAGATCTGTGTCCGATTTTACGTGCTTTCTTATGTACAAAAAAACGTAGATCTATGATCAGAGCGCTACGCACGTGAACGTAGATCTACATTTAGACAGTTTAGGGTTAAAGCATGTGATGTGAAGCTGAATTGTCCTCTTGGCCTAGTTGGATATTGTAAAGTATTTTTGCTTCAGTAAATACAGAAGTAGTAATTTTTACTTATCTCAGCTTTGTTATGCATCACATGATGATGCGCTAAGTCTGAATATGTTTCCAGTTGCAGAGAAATATTACTGATTACCGTAAACAAGAGCTGCAACTTGTCTCAGGATTTGCATGGATATTGTAGTAGTGTTTTTTCCCAGGAACGTGATCTGGGAGATGAATATGGATGGAAACAAGTTCATGGGGATGTGTTCCGTCCTCCTTCACAACCAATGCTGTTTTCTGCATTGGTTGGATCAGGCTACCAGATGCTCACTGTCACCTTCCTTGTTATTCTACTAGCGATTGTTGGAGAACTGTACACAGAGTAAGTGAACACATTTACTTGTACTGCAACAGTTACAGTTTTCTTCATGAATACTCGGCTTGATTTGTAATCAAAGATCATTATATTTTCTCTAGCTCCAGTTTGGGGTAATTTACTCTGGAACTCCTTTATTATTGGGACTAAAGTATATATAGTGTGGTGACTGAGGGTACTTGAGGATATGTAGTTAAAGGAATTTGAACTAGGCTTGTAGTGGCTCAGTGGATGTGGTACATTCCAACTATCTACCACCCTTTGGATGTATGTACCATACAGCATACAATTTTTAAATTTACAATCAGTATAGCACTTACTACCTCTTTCCATTTATTCCTTTCTTCCACCACTATTTATAAAGAAAAAATTTCACAATATCCCTTTGGCTCCATTTTTTCTTTCTTTGCATCTGTGTTGTCTTGTTATCCCTGTTGAAGGTACTGTAATAAATAATCATCTTTATCTGTTTTTCCTATCCTTTTGTAACCCTATATATTATCATATTTCCTCTTTTCTTGTCAGCCAGTTTGGACATCTTTAATGTTTTCAATTTTTCATTATATTTTTTTTTTTTTTTTTTTTTTTATCTGGGATCCATTTTGTACATATTTTAACCTTTTCTATTTGATCTACATATTTTTTAGGTGGAACATAACACACCAGCTGCATATACTGGTATTTCAAGTTTGGCCTATTATTTATAAGTTGTAAACTTTTTTTTTTTTTTTTTGTATTATTTATCTTTTTTCCATATCAAGAAAAATGCTAACCCAAGCTGTAATTTCCCTAGCTGATACAACCTTCTGTTTTATTTCTTAAATCATGTTAGTCAAACCAAACAACCCCTTTACGAAAGGAAGTTTCAAAAAGAAAATAGGCAGGAATGACATAGTTAAGAGTTGGTTTGCAATATTGTACCTAAAAATTACACTATTATTCATCAGGCGGGGATCAATGGTGAGCATCGCAATCTTCATTTATGCTGCCACTTCACCTATCAATGGTTACTTCGGGGGATCTTTATATGCTAGAATGGGTGGTATGTATCATTTGTGTACTGTGATAACCTGTCATTTATTTAAACAGAATTATTTTATGTACATGTATTAGCATGTGTGCCAGACAAATCCTAAAATTTCACATCTCCAGTTTTCATAAACTTGTAAATTTTTGTTATATAGATACTATCATAAGCACTCTTGTTAATAAGATTACTGGGATGACAAATTCTTAATTCCAGGGAAAGTTTGGATTCGGCAAATGATGTTATCTGCTTTACTCCTGCCAACTTTGGTGTGTGGCACAGCATTTTTCATCAATTTCATAGCAATTTATTACCATGCTTCCAGAGCTATTGCCTTCACTATCATGGTAAGATGTTTCTTCAGTTTTCTTTCTCTATTCGTATTACTCTATCTGTTTGGCAGAGATCATTAAATAGTTAAAGAAATACAAGTATTCTTCATTTTATGCTTCAGATGCATTTCGGGCCAGTAGCAGCTATACTAATCTCGATCAGACCATAAACACTTATTTCTGCTTTATAAGAATCTTCAGTACGCTTTACAAATTGTACAGTGAATTGTATACTTGGAATTGCCAAGAGAAATTTGATGTTTAATATTGAATTTGCTTAAATCAAGGGATACTTGTATTTCTTCAGGAGATTAATTGGAATTTGCAACCACTTTTAATAAATCATCCTAGCATGGTGTATTCCAGAGTGACCCAGAATTTATAATGGTAAAATGTTTTAGGTTCTTCTCCCTGTTGTTATTGTTTTGTATGAATTAAATGCTCAAATGAATATTTTGTCATCAAGACAAATTGAAGACCAGAATGGCTTAAATTTTCAGTGCTGTGTAACTTTCATGTTGTCATTTTATTGTTCTCCTCATCAGCTAGCTGTTATCTGTATCTGCACATTTGTGATTCTGCCTCTGACGCTAGTTGGAACAGTATTAGGACGGAACTTGGCGGGACAACCCAACTACCCATGTCGAATCAATGCTGTTCCACGACCTATTCCGGAAAAGAAGTGGTTTATGGAGCCCCTTGTCATCATCCCTCTTGGTGGCATTCTTCCTTTTGGATCCATCTTTATTGAAATGTAGGTAAACTGTTGATAGGTTTTTAATTTTTTCATCCTTATATTATTCTACCTCTTCATTTTCTTGATTTGAAGTTGCTTTGCACTGAGATTTATCATATGTGAGGTTCATCAGTGGAGAACCAGTAAATTTTAAGAAGATTTACTTACAACTAACATTTCTTGTACAACGAACTCTTCACAAATCCCAAAAATTAAGTCAGTGGCTTAGAAAATGACAGGAAAATGGTTGGTCTGTTTATCTATTCTTATTGACTATTTCCCAGAAAGGTAGGATGACCATAAAGAAAACCACATTCACTTTCACTCATTTCCCAGCTACCTTTCCAGAAGTAGAGGGACATCGTGACTGAAGGATCCATCAAACGGCAACATCTTCACACAAGAACCTACACTTTTTAATATATACTAGCTGAAATTCAAGTTAAGATTACTGGTTTTTCCTTCACCATTCTGACATCCAGTCTTTCAGTGCCTAAACTTTTTATTCTCATGATATTGTTCTTTTCAATGTTCCCTTTCTGCAAAGAGCAACTATAATAACACCCACCTCATATTCAATTCATTTTTCTTAAGCACGCCTTTCTCTTCGACTCTAGCATTCACTTCTTTTTCAGGATTATTAATACAGTTAACAGTGACACATTCCTCTCTAAGGCCCTCTCTTATAAAAGAAACTTAGCAGGTTTTAACAACCCTCGTTTGCAATACTTATCACACTCCTTCCCTTTATAGGTCATTTACTGCTAAATACCGGTTTTCTCCATTTTTACCTTCAGTGATGCCATTTTTTTCCTTCACAGGTACTTCATCTTTACCTCTTTTTGGGCGTACAAGATCTATTATGTGTACGGCTTCATGTTGCTGGTGTTTGTGATCCTGTTAGTGGTTGTGATGTGTGTGACCATTGTGTGTGCATATTTCTTATTAAATGCTGAGGACTACAGGTGGCAGTGGACTAGTTTCTTAGCTGCAGCCTCCACATCTGGCTATGTCTACGTGTATGCTACATATTACTTTTTCTTCAAAACCAAGTAAGATCAGAGTCTTTCTTTTCTTGTGTCAATGATATTCGTTTAAATATTTTTTTTCTCTCTCTTTCTCTCTGCATCATGATATAGTACACACACAATTTAACCATGATGGTTCCCATCATGCACTGCTTAAGGAAGGATTTTTTCTTTAATATTGTTCACACCCACTGCACAGATTCACACACTCATGGCTAGGCCAAAAATTACCACTCATCATATATTTGAGGGCACTATGATTAAGACAGATCTATGCAGGCTCTACTTGCCTCAGTTACACAGATCTAGGTGACAGACCATATGAGGTTCAGAGGAGTGGTAAAGTAAATAATTGATTTGTTTTTCATTTCAGGATGTATGGGTTTTTCCAGACAAGTTTCTACTTTGGTTATATGGCTCTCTTCAGTGCAACTCTGGGCATTATGTGTGGCACCATTGGTTATGTTGGCACCAGCAAGTTTGTACGCAAAATTTACTCTACTGTCAAAATTGACTGAATTGTCTTGTTTTATATTAGTATTGTTTAAGAATGGATTATAGTGACAAACTACCAAAATCTCCCTATTAAGCCAATAAGAGAAATGTACTACTACTCTAGAAAACAATAAAACATTATTTAAAATAGTGTCGATATAAGCACCAGTGTCATGTCCTAAGAATGCAAATGGAAGTCTATCCTGATGATCAGAAATCAGCAGAAAAGAAAATCAGACAGCTACATTAAACTTTTGTCAACCTGTGATAGTAAGACCAGCATTGAAGTTTTGTGGGCATCATTGAATCAGTAAGTTTTTAATTTATTAATACTGGATCATTATTTTTATTATTACAGTACAATACAGTACTGTATTACAATAATAATCATTATCATAACTAGCTTCTTTTTCCTTGAGACTTAATTTGATTACATTACAGGTATCTCACACTTTGTGGCTTCTTGTACATTTTGTGCGACAGCCCCTTTCCTACCAGTGCTGTAATTCTCTGTTTTGTACCAAAAAGTCACTCTTTTGTGATAAGTGTGGTTTTCGCATTTTTAAAGTGTGAGTGAATGTGTGAAAGTCATAAGTGGTAAATTGGTATTATGTATTATTTTTAATTTCTTTTAGCAAATACATTTATTTATTGTATATGGCTAATTAGGATGTGTGTAGCATGGTCTTTTTTATTTCTTGGTACAGTTCAAGAAATATTTCGAAGAGGTGGAACATAAGTACAGTTAAGAAATGTCATACTAGGAAATGTCATGCTAGTTTTCTTTTGCTCTAATGCACAACACTAATTAAAAATAAGTCATACAATATTCTACAAAATCTGCCAAAATAGTGCTTTGTTTGATGATGATTTTTTTTAACAAATCGGTCATATCCCACCGAGGCAGGGTGACCCAGAAAACTACTTATTTTTTTTTTTTAAAGTTAGTAATTTATACAGGAGAAGGGGTTACTAGCCCCTTGCTCCTGGCATTTCAGTTGCCTCTTATGACACGCATAGCTTCTTCTTTCTTTCAATGTACCAGCCGTATCCCACTGAGTTGGGGTGGCCCAAAAGGAAAACGAAAGTTTCTCCTTTTAAATTTAGTAATATATACAGGAGAAGGGGTTACTAGCCCCTTGCTCCCGGCATTTTAGTCGCCTCTTATGACACGCATAGCTTATGGAGGAAAAATTCTTTTTCGCTTCCCCATGGAGATAAGAGGAAATAACAAACAAGAACTATTAAGAAAATAGAAGAAAACCCAGATGGATGTGTATATATGTACATGTACATGCATGTATCGTGTGACCTAAGTGTAAGTAGAAGTAGCAAGATATACCTGTTATCCTGCTTGTTAATGAGACAGAAAGGAGACACCAGCAGTCGTACCATCGTGTAAAACAATTACAGGTTTTTGTTTCACACTCGGCTTAGGGCTTCTTTTTGATTGTAATAATAATAATTGTTTCACACTCACTCTGCAGGATAATAGGGCCTCCCTGGGCGGTTGCTGTCTACCAACCTACTACCTAGGGATTTTTTTTTTTTCAACAAGTTGGCTGTCTTCCACTGAGGCAGGGTGACCCAAAAAGAAAGAAAGTCCCCCAAAGAGAAAATACTTTCATCATCATTCAACACTTTCACCTCACTCATACATAATCACTGTCTTTGCAGAGGCACTCAGATACAACAGTTTAGAAGTCCCTCCAAACTGTCAATATCCCAAACCCCTCCTTTAAAGTGCAGGCATTGTACTTCCCATTTCCAGGACTCAAGTCCGGCTGACTGGTTTCCCTAAATCCCTTCACTAAATATTACCCTGCTCGCACTCCAACAGCTCGTCAGGTCCCAAAAACCATTCATCTCCATTCACTCCTATCTAACACACTCACACGTGCTTGCTGGAAGTCCAAGCCCCTCACCCACAAAACCTCCTTTACCCCCTCCCTCCAACCTTTTCGAGGACGACCCCTACCCCTCCTTCCTTCCCCTACATAGTTATATGCTCTCCAAGTCATTCTACTATGATCCATTCTCTTTAAATGACCAAACCACCTCAACAACCCCTCTTCAGGCCTCTGACTAATACTTTTAGTAACTCCACACCACTTAATTTCTACACTCCGAATTCTCTGCACAATATTTACACCGCACATTGCCCATAGACAGGACATCTCCACTGCCTAAGGCGTATTATTATTAATATTAATTATAAAATGTGCTTAATGCATTTTATAGACTTACCCTTTTTTTTTTTTTCTTTCTTTACTAATGTCAACTTCAACATGATTAAAGGGATATTTAGTGAAATATGCCCTCCCAGAAGTGAATGCCCAGCAATAGAACCTTACTAAAACTAACCTTAAATTACCCAACACCTGAGGCAGCTTTCTTCATTACATGATGTTTTTTATGAAACATTGAAGTCATTACATCCATATTTAAGGAAATACGGGCACTGTCCTTTTTCATTGTACAGCACTTTATTTAACATGAATATTTTTTATCAAATGTTTAGATTTGTTAGGTGGTAATGTGGTATACTTGTAATTTTTGATAAGTCTATTAAGGAAACAAGTTTTTGCTTTATAAATTATGTTCTCTTTGTGTGATTTTCTATGTGCACACGGGCCTGGACTGAACAAAGTGATGACCACCTGTACAACACTTAAATCTGTACTGCATATGCTATAGAATTTTTACAGTACAAGTAGAACATGTCTTATTAAAATGAACATTAGTGCTTCATCTATATATATGTATCTTAACAATGAGAGCTAAAACTTGTTTATATTAAACATTAGAAGTTGCCAGTACTTTAATTTCAGAAAAGCTGATAGTGTACCTATTAATGCATTCCTGTTATTAATGAATCTCATTGAATGTTTGTGTTGGGACACTTGGGAAGATAACATAAATTTTAAAATAGTTTGTAGTGTGTGCATCAAGAATATTCACTTTTCTTTAACTTATACAGTACTGTATATTGAAATAAAAAATTTCAGTTAAGCACAGTACTGTATAGTGAAAGAATAGAATTATTTCTTGGCTTTGATCTGGACAGCATGTTGTAATTTTGATTGCCTATTGTGAGTACAGTCGACCCCCGGTTAACAATATTTTTTCACTCCAGAAGTATGTTCAGGTGCCAGTACTGACCGAATTTGTTCCCATAAGAAATATTGTGAAGTAGATTAGTCCATTTCAGACCCCCAAACATACTCGTACAAACGCACTTACATAAATACACTTACATAATTGGTCGCATTCGGAGGTAATCGTTATGCGGGGGTCCACTGTATAGATTTTTTTTTTTTTTTTTCTGTTGATGTCCACAATATATTTGACCTGCTTACACAAATCAAGCCTTTTAATTCTAAAATTCCCACTTTTTTTTTTTTAACACTGGCTGTAACCTACTGAAGCAGGGTGACCTAAGAAGAAAAACAAAGTTTTTTCTTTAAATTTAGTAATTTATACAGGAGAAGGGGTTACTCGCCCCTTGCTACCACCATTTTAGTCTCCTCTTATGAAAATTCCTGCATATCTACTCCATAACCAGTGTTTACTCTGCCGTACCAAACAATAGGGAGGTTTTGGGACCCACTTCAGCATAAAAAACCCTTTTCATTTATCAAATGTAGGTATTATAGAAGGTTAAAATATTGTATATTGCTGTGCTTAGACACCAAAATACAGTATTAATATTATTATACTTGCTCTATAATATGTGATTTTTAGGCTAAACATATTCAGTATTTAAAATGAAAACTTGCTAAGCACACAACACGGTGAGAAAGGAAAATATTAGTTTAATAATTTAGTTCTTTGCAGGTGATCAAGGTTCTTATTGAAAGGATTACATTTCCTTTTGATATGTTATTCATGCATTAACCACTGTACTTAACAATTACTGATCATTAATTGAAATGTTAGTTTATATGAATTGGTATAAAAGTAGTAGGATATTCAGAATTAAATAAGCCTACAGATTAATTGATGGTCTGTATAAAGTATATTAGCAAAAGCTCTGCTGTAGATAAAAGTGCAGTAATCAGTTCCCAGTATAAATTATTAAAAAAAATTTATAATCCATTATAATTTTGTTATACTGAACACACATAGAATAAGTCTTGTTACAAATATCAAACATTATAAGAAAATTGTTTACTAAATTACTGTGTAATTTAAATAAGCATTATTACTTGAATCTGTTTTAGGACTTGGGATTTAATTGGCCTACTAGGGCCTTGTTTAATTTTTCCAAAAAATTTTGGTTAATTACTGATTGGCAGGAGTCTAAATGTAGCTGTGTAACTTTTTTTTTTTTAATTATATTTATCCTAATTTTTAATGAAAAAAAATTAAATTTCTTGGAAACCCTTAAGAAACCTGAAACATTGTGAAAATCAAGGTTTTAAATTTAATATGAAATATTGAGATTTCTTGCCTCTTATCCTAGTTGGACTGGTATTGGGGCCCTTTTTCAAGATCCGTACAATACTGAAACTATATATAGAATAAAATATATTGAGTATGCAAGGGCTGACGTGGAACATCTTGGATTTCCACTGCATCGACTTTACAAGATAATTAAAGTATTTTCCCCAAGAGTGCTATATCACTGTTTGTATCCAGTTATATGGGTTTCCAAGTAGTGTTCAGCACTTGCTGTAGGCTCTCATTTTCTTGTTGATATTTTGTGGATTTTACTCCCATATTTGTTTTAGGGATTTTAATAGTTTGAGACTATATCAAGAGCTTTCAGATTGAAATGTGAATATAGAGAGAAGCTAATGCAAAGTATCACATGAAAATTTGCCCTCCTGAAGGTAAACGGTTAATTAAAGGTTTGCAGTAATTATATATACTCTGGCTTTTGTTTAGCTGCAAAACTAGCATAGCAATCAAACCTCATCTTATTAAACTATGAAATGATTTTCCTAACTTTTCAGAGAATGTGCATAATGAAATTTTAACTGTTTATCTTGGAGACCAAATCCTCATGTGAACTCGTATAGAAAATGTATTGTATACAATATATGGTACTGGATTTTGGCTCATAAACAATATATGGTATAGAAATAACCATAACATGGCATTATTTGCCAGTAGTAGTTTACATTATTCTGGCAGTAAATAACGCTATATATGCCATTCATGCTATACTATATGAAGACAGAAACTATTTGCATATTGAATAGTATTTTTTCATGTTCTGATACTGTAATATAGGGGGATAGATATGACTGTTTAATTTTCCATTGAAAGAGGGTACACAAATGGTTTGGTGAACATTTTGAATTTGATATGTGGCCCTTGATTTAAGTGTTAAAATTACAATATTTAAATATAATGTGTGTGAGTGTGTGTGTGACTTGTGTGTTTGCTATAAATATAAAAGTGGGAGACTGTGGATTGTTTTGCCACAGAACTGGCATAAGTTTGATAGTTTTGAAATATTTCATGTAATTATAATTCTGGGTGAAAGGAGCTGTTTAATACTTCCCTTTTATATATTTCTTGTTAATAATTGACCATCTCACATTTTTCTGAGTGAAAGTTAGTGAAAATAGGAATGAGTATGCACAAGCATTAAGAGAGGGATTGTGTCCTTGTGTTTACTTTAATGTGACTATTTTGGCTACCTTGTTAAGTTTGTAAGTAAAATTCACAATATGGAGTGTGTTTTGGATGTGACCCACTCAAATATTATATAATTATTTATTTATCAGTTTTAATGTGTCGGCACAAATACTTTCTGCATTCCCAAAGCAATTTTTTTTCTCCATACTTGTAAATACAGGAGGCCATTATTCATATTTAGAATGCTTTTGCTTAGAGGTAAATTATAGGATTCTTGATAGTAAGATTTGGAGTGAAGGAGGGTAGAAGAGACTTTATATCAAAATATTCAATGATGTTAATAACGGAACATGTAATAACAGTAGAATAAACTTGTATAAGTTTTTACATTTCATTCTTTACATTTGTTATACCTTATAGATGAAATTGATCATTGACATATAATTTTACTCTAGTTTAGGTGGAGACTAGTTTGTGGTGCTGTTTTTCAGATATGAACATATCTTTTCTTTCAACACACCGGCCGTATCCCACCGAGGCGGGGTGGCCCAAAAGGAAAAACGAAAGTTTCTCCTTTTACATTTAGTAATATATACAGGAGAAGAGGTTACTAGCCCCTTGCTCCCATGAACATATCTCTGTGTCAAAAATTAACATGACTTGAGAGCTAGTACTGTAACCAAAATGCTGTTTGATTAAATACAGAAGGAAAGCTTTGATATTTGAGCAAGATAGGATGTAATGTACTGTATAAAGGTATTTAATTTTGCATATTACAAAAGAATCCTATATTTTTCATGAAGTGACAAAATTTATTGCCTGGTAATATATATTTTGAAGAAAGTGTACCTAATCATTTTTGTTTTCAGTTAATACTTTTATGTATGTACTGTATTATGCTGGCTTGCCAAAGGTAATCAAAGTAACATCTTTAACAGTAACAAGCCAGGCCTTGTCCTGATTCATAGTTCATCACTTGTGCTGAATAAATCATTCCAGTATTAACTTATATTATTTTAAAACCCTGTAAAAGTATTAAGTCATATTATTTTAAACCATTGTAACAGTATTAAGTTACATTATTTTACAGCCTTGTAGTTTACCTGCTTGTAGTTTGCATGCTAGTTTTATATTCATTGCTTCAGCTCCTTATATGTAATTCGATTATAATGATCTTGGGGAAGCATTAATATTTGTGCCTGGGGTATAATTCCTTGTATCAAGACCCCTTCACTAGCATCAAGGCATCCCCGTGGAAAGAATTTGTGTAGCAATCTTTATATATGGGTATTGTATAGGATGGCCCCACTTTACAGTGCTTTGCTTTATGGTGTTTTGCTGATGCAGCAGTTTTCAATTATTCCCATTCTTCACTTATTCAGACTTCCTCCAATAAATATATTCACCACTCGCTATAAACCAATACCTGGAGTATACCTGGAGGGGGTTTCGAGGGTCAATGCTCCTATGGCCTGGTTTGTGACCAGGCCCCTCTTCAAGGGGGGCTCCTTGGCGTGATGAAGAGGCTCTTGGTCTGAGGAATTAGACCTGTCGGTCTACTTCCTCAGACTGAACCTAATTACCCCCCAATCCCCCGTTCCCTATCCCATCCTCCCCTTTTTCCTTTCCTCCTCCTCCTCCTCCCCACCCCTCCCTTTTGCCCTTCCTTTTTTTTTCCCCACAGGCACGCTAGTTCCTAGGTAGGGGAAAGGGTACCGGGGTCCATCCCATTCCGTTGAGGTTCTTGGCGGTGGCGTAGTTTGCCGTGGAATCTGGATTGCCTGGGGATGTCCTGATCCCTCTCCGGTATCCCGGAGGGTGGCTTTGGGTGTCTCTCGGGCGACGGGTGTATCTCTGGAAGCCACCTTTCAGATTCTGGGGGTGGTGGCCGAAGGAGGTATGCTTTGTGGCGGATTTCCGGCCGCTCTCTCGTTTGTCCACCGAGGTAGCTCGGCAGATGTGAGGTTGCTATCCCGGATTGCCGGTTTACTGGTATGATGGGTAGGGTATGGCATGGGTTCCATGCTGCATCTGCGCTACTTGCGGTGCTGAGGTCCTCTTGGGCGCGGAGGGAGATTTCTGGCCCTTTCATTCCTCCTAGGAACTGTCCCCCCTTTTTTTATTCTTTTTTTATTTTTATTTTCTTTTCTTCTTTCTTTTTTTTCTTAAAAACAAAAAGAAAGAAGTAACCTAACCATGGCAGCCCTAGTCCATGAACCTGCTACCCCCGGGCCCCTTCTTGATACCGCACCCCGTTCTGACCCCGCCTCGTCTTTGGACCACTCTTCGGACACTCCTCATGCCTCTGTACCTCTTGCCGGTGCTGTTTCCTCACCTGCTTCAGGTACTGAGGCCTCAACTGACTCCTTCGATTTATCTGACCTTTGCTCTCCTCTGACTATGCTTCCGGCCTCTCCCTCTACTGTGAGGCAATTTTCGAATCGCCGGCCCGTTCCACGTCGGACCAACTCTGGTCCCATGCCTAAACGCCAACGACAATTACCTGCTGATGATACTTCTCCACCTTCTCGTTCTTCTCAGAAAAGATCGACACGTCCTTCACTACCTTTCCACGCTCAGTTTCAGACTGCACAATGGACTAAATTCTTCACTTTACGACCGACTTCCTCTACTGCCTATCTTTCTGACCACAGTATTGGCAAGGCACTCCTACGCCATGTTGGTAAAGATATTTCTTTTCATGTGGTACGCGCATCATCACCGTACAGAATGCTACCCAGGCTCATGAGCTTTCTCGTCTTTCCCATATCGATACTGTTCCTGTCACTATTGAAAAGCATCATTCCCTCAATTCTTGTAGTGGTACCGTCATTCTGCCCCATACCATAGTTCAACAAAATTTCCAGACATGTGGCACTGACATTCTTGAACAGCTGGAACTCCAAGATCTCCCAATCCTCAAGGTAGACACTTACGTTCTTCCTGCCTGTGGGTGGAGACGATACCCTAGCAATGTGGCTCGTTTAACTTTTGACAGCCGTGAGCTCCCATCCTCAGTTTATGTAGCAGGACATCGGTTACAAGTTCGAAAGGTGATCCCTACACCGCAACAGTGTAAAAATTGCTGGCGATTTGGCCATCCAGCGAAATATTGCAGATCTATCGCCGAATGCCCAGTCTGTGGTGCTGATGACCATTCTAATAGGTCTTGCAATCGACCTCCCTCTTGCCTTAACTGTCATGAGGCTCACCCTTCGTACTCTCGCCGTTGTCAAGTCTACTTAAACGAGCGGGAAATCCGTTACCTCAAAGAAGCAGAAGGTCTCCCTTATGCCATGGCAGTTTCTCATCTCCGCCTCCAAGGGAGACTAACTCGTGTTTCTTATTCCTGTGTTTCAAAACGTCCCCCCACTTCTGGTATCCCATCTTCTGCACCCACCTCTGTGGTTACCTCTCCCATAGTCACTCCTGTATCTAATTCTTTTGCTGTCCTTGGCTCAGACGTCCCTACTTCAACGTCTCAGTCTGATCTCGCTTCTTCGTGTTCTCTCTCACAAGCCTCAGTAGCGACGAGATCTCATATGACACCTCCTCCCAATCGTCCCTCTACTTCTCAAAAGTCAAAAAAAGGTCCATTAACACCTCCTACCCATCTTCCACCTCCTCATTTTCCCTTCCCTGTCTCTGTACCTGGTTCTCCCCCTCTCACTGGCTCTGTTACAAGTGTAGAGGTTCACCCTCCTCCTCGTACTGTACCTTCCTCCCCTGTTCCCTCCCAAGTTTCTTCCTCTTCTGCCACCTCCCAGGTTTCTGCCTCTTCTGTCCCCTTCCACGCTTCTCCAGTTCCCTCCACCCTTTCGCACCCCCCTACCTTGGTACAGTCCATTACAGTTCCAATCTTTACTCATCCTCCCCCTACCATTTCCAATATTGTCTCCCATACAACGTCTCTGAATTCTGAAACACTTGAAGCAATCTCTGAATATATTGCAGAGAACAAACCATCAATGGACACTAATCCACCCTCCGCTCCTTCTCTCTCCTCTATTCCATCTGCGCAACTCCTTTCTTCACAGCGCACCGTTCCTTCGCTGCTTGAACGTTTTCCACTGCCTCCGCATGTGGACTTTTCTAACCCCTCTAGTCCATAGGAACCCTTACCTGCGGATTTCAGGTATCTTTATCATTGCCAATCATGGCCTATTTACAGTGGAATATACGCAGCCTCAGGGGTAATCGGGGTGAGCTTCAGATGTTACTCTCCCAGTTTTTCCCTGTTGGTGTTTGCTTACAGGAACCAAAATTACACTCTGCTGTTATCTCTCCCATCTCAGGCTATAATTTATTGTATTCTTCAGATCCTTTTCCTGATGGGACCTTTAATGAAAGTGCCCTTCTTCTACGCACTGATATTCCGTACCATCAGCTATTTGTTCGTACTTCGCTGCATTACACAGCAGCCCGTATCCACTTGCATAGGTGGTATATGCTCTGTTCTTTATATCTCTCTCCTTCTCGGGCATTATCTATTCCGGATATTGCCTTTCTTGTTTCGTCATTACCACCACCGATTCTGTTACTTGGTGATTTTAATGCCCACCATTTCCTCTGGGGGGGTCTCACTGTGATTCCCGTGGCATTCAGTTAGAGGCTTTTCTTGCCACCCACCCCTTCCATGTTTTAAATACAGGTAGTCACACCCATTTTGATCCTCGGACTCACACTCTCTCTTGCATCGATCTCTCAGTCTGCTCTTCCTCCGCCGCATTAGACTTCACTTGGTCTGTTCTTCCGGACTTACATGACAGCGATCATTTCCCAATCATTCTTACTTCCCCGTCATATTCACCACCTCTTCGCATCCCACGCTGGCAATTTGATCAGGCAAATTGGAACCTTGACTCACACCTAACTGTTTTTAGAGAGGTTCCTTCTTCGTCCTCCATCAATGAGCTTTTGCACCTCTTCTCCTCCGTTTTAACCGCAGCTTCTCATTCTATACCCCAAACTTCGGGCAGGCATTCTCAGAAATGCGTGCTTTGGTGGTCTCCTGCTTGTGCTCGTGCAGTACGTTTGAAACGTGCTGCATGGGGCAGGTACCGGTACAATAGAACCACAGAGAGACTTCTTGATTTTAAGCAGAAGCGTGCGATCGCTCGCCGTGTCATCCGTGACGCTAAACGCACTTGCTGGCGAGATTATGTCTCCACCATCACCTCTGCTTCCTCTATGAGTGCAGTCTGGAAAAAAGTACGAAAACTGAGTGGTAAATATTCTCCTGACCCGGCTCCTGTTCTGCAGGTTGCCGGTGTTGATATAGCAAACCCACTAGATGTTGCCAATGAAATTGGCAATCATCTGGTCCGTATTTCTCAGGGACTCCATCTATGCCCCTCATTTCTTTCCTCAAAGTCTGCCAGAGAGTTAGCACCCTTGGACTTTTCTTCTCTCAGAGAAGAACAGTATAACGTGCCTTTTACACTTCAAGAACTGGAGGCAACACTCTCAGCTTGCCGATGATCAGCAGCTGGGCCCGACGACATTCATATTCGTATGCTACGACATTTACATCAGTCAGCCCTTGCAGTCCTATTACGCCTTTACAATCTTATTTGGTCACAAGGAGTTCTTCCACAGCTGTGGAAATCCGCCATTGTTCTCCCTTTCCGCAAACCAGGTGTTCCATTTCTGGGCTATTTTGCTGCAATAGCTACCCACCTTCGCACCCGTTGGCAACAATGTTGGTCAACTCTGCTCGGTAACAAACTTCATTCGATTAAACCGAGCATAGGTTACTGGCCATCTTCTTGTCATCAGTGCCGAGGTTGGGAGACCACTCTCTCCCGCCTTTGCATTGGCCACACTCGTCTTACTCATGGGTATCTCATGGAGAGGCACCCTGTTCCACTCTGTGAGCAGTGTCAAGTTCCAGTATCGATTAGCCACATTCTGTTAGACTGCCCTCTCTATCAACGAGCACGCAGAATTTACCTCCAATGTCGTCTTCGTTCTACTACTCTCTCTTTACCTTCCCTTCTTGCTGA